GACTGAATGAACTAACAATCTAAATCTGTGGAATCTGCAAGTCTGAATCTGTGGAATAATGCAGCTGGATGCGTGCAGTCTGCAAGTCTAAATCTGTGGAATAATGCAGCTGGTTCCAATAATTCCAAACCAGCAAGCATTATTACTACTACGACTTCGATCCCAGGTACGGTCAAATGACAATGCAAAACGTCTCTCAATACTATACCTGCCCATGCAGCCCGCGGGCTCGTGGCCCGGCAATTTGGCCCGGCCCAAGCATGGAACGGCCCGGTGGCCATCGGGCCCGGGCCGGGCCAGCCCAAAGGACCAGGACGTGCATGGGCCGCCACCTAGGCCCGCGGCACGGCACGGGCACGGCACGGTGAAAGAGGTGGCCCGGTGCCTCCAACGGCTAGTGAGGCAGGCCGCAGGCAGCCCAACCCACGAAGCCGCCTCCCCCGCGGCCGTATATATGCTACTCCTCGCCCCCCCCTGATCCCTAACCCTAATCCCACTCCACTCCCGCCACTCGCAGTCGCAGTCGTCTCGTCTCGCTCGCTCTCGATCCATCGCCTGGAGCTCGCCGGCCCTGCTCCAGTGACCTCGTCGCCGCTCGTCCACCTCGACCTGAGTTCGCTAACCATCTCCTCCCTCCTTTCCCTTTCTATCCCCTCTTCCCCCCTCCTCCGGTGTACCATGTGAGTTCGTCGTGTCTGTCCTTCCGCCGCCGCTCGCCGTCGTTCTAACTGTTGTCTGTCTCCTCCTCTGGCTGCCTCCCTGGCCTCTTCTCGGGCACTGGGCTCCGGCACTATTATGGTTGTCGGGCTGTGGGCCGGCACGGCATGGGGAAAATGGCCGTGCCCAACGGGCGGCACGGCACGGTCAGACGGCCCACGGGCCGTGCCATGGGCCGTAGGTCAGGCACGAAGCTCGTGGAGGCACGGCACGGCAGGCACGACGGCCTGTCGAGGCAAGACCCCCATCGGGCCGGCACGGCCCGTTGGCCATCTATACTCAATACATATGCATTTAGATTCCAGTGAGTGCTAACATCCTTGAAAATATCTGTAAAAATATGCTAACACATGTGCACAAGGTGATACACTTGGTGGTTGGCACATTTGAGCAAGAGTGAAGAAGTTGGGGTTGAAAAGGAGTTAGTCGCGCTGGTCACAGGTTGACCGGACGCGTCCGGTATTGTACCCTAGCTCGGGCAAGTGTTGCAGAGGTGGCCGGACACATCTGGTATTAGGAGAGGACGCGTCCGATATTTGGCCCGATGCGAGCAGCGACCGGACGCCATCCGGTGTGAACCAGTGAGCCTTGGTTTCTAGTGCTATAATTGATCTGACGCTGGGTGCGTCCGGTCTGGTGAGACCAGATGCGTCCGGTCGGCCCAGAACGGTTCTGGGAGCTCTCTGGACTCGACATGACGCTGCCTCGCCTGCATCCGGTCGATTTCTAACAGCGCGTCCAATCCTTTGTGTCAGTGCGCGACAGAGAGAGCCGTTGGGCGCCAATGGCCACTTCATTTGAAGGGGACATGTGGCTCTCGTGGGGTGACCGAACACATTGACCGGACATGTCCGGTGTAGTACATGAGCTGCGCGTCCGGCCAGTGCGTGGACTGCTTAATAATTGAGCCAACGGTTCTATTGTTTGGGGTGTTTATATATATCGTTTGGCCGGCTCAAGCTCACTCTCTTAGCCATTTGCATTGACATGGCAACTTGTGAGCTTAGCTAAAGCCCTCCCACTCATCTCCATCATAGATTTATCATCTTTGTGAGATGAGGAGTGAATCCAAACACATTGCTTGAGTGATTGCATCTAGAGGCACTTGGTGTTCGTGTTTTGCTTCGGGTCTCGCTTGTTACTCTTGGTGGTTACCGCCACCTAGAAGGCTTGGTGCAGCAAGGATCGTCGAGCGGAGGTTGGTGATTGTCTCTGGCTTCGATCATGGTGTTTGTGATGGGTTCTTGACCTTTCCCCGGTGGAGAGCCAAAAGGTACTCTAGTGGATTGCTCGTGGCTTGTGTGATCCTCATCTTGTGTTAGTTGTGCGGCACCCAGTTACGGGTTTGGCGTGTGATGCCAATTAGCTCGTGAACCTCCAAGTGAGTATATCGCCACAACGAGGACTAGCTTGTTGGCAAGCAAGTGAACCTCGATAAAAAGTCTTGTGTCATCATTGTCCGAGGATTTCATTGATCATCTTGTGATTGATTGTGATTATCTTGTGATTGGCTCACTCCTTGACACGTCGGTATAATCATCACATCCCCAACCTTGTATTTACTTTTCTAGTGTAGCTTCGCTCTTTAGTATAATTAGTTCTGAGAGCAAGCTAGTATCGGGTCTAGTAGTTAGTGTGTCTCTTTAATTAGCCTTTGAGAGCACACTAACTTAGTGTAGTGACATAGCCATTGTGTGCTTAGAGAATATAGACATTAGAATTATGGTAGGTGGCTTGCTATTTTAGTAGGCTAGCGCAACACTCGCTTTGCCGTTTAATTGTCTAATATATTTGCTAAGTGTTGTTGTAGAAGTTTTTATTAGGCTATTCACCTCCCTCTAGCTATTAGGACCTTTCAGCCACGCCGTGCTGCTCCTCTCGCTGCAGCGCCATCCCCGCTGCGCTCTATCTCGGTCGCACCCCTTCTCTTTCCTAACGTCTCTTCTCCCGTGCAACATCCGTTCGATCGTTGCAACATATACAATATACTCTTGAAACATACATGTATAGTCATTGCAACATCTAAATAAAACACATGAGACATACGTATGAAACAGCTAAAACATTTGTAATATATATTTGCAATATACGTATAAAACAGACGAAACATGTGGAACGTATACTTAAAACATACGTGTGTAGCCCCGGTAATGCTTGGTCACGGGCGTCCGTCCCATCCGGACGTCGCGCCTTACTCCGCTCGTTGTTGCGGCATTCTCCCACCGCCCCCAACCCATGCGCCGCTCGCCCCTCTCTCCCGCCCATCGCTCGCCCCATCCGCACCTCGCTCCTCGCTTCGGCCGTGCGCCACGCCGCCCGCTCCCTCCCGTAGCGCGCGCCGCCTACTTGGCCGAGCCAAGGCCAGTGCTAGTGGTGGTGATGGCGGTGGTGCTCGCGCGCCGCACATTGGTGCTGGTGCTAGTGGTGCTTGCTCACCGCCGCTCGCCGCCGGATCCCACCCAGATGACCGGAATCTACCGGCTCCGTCCTTCCCGTCCTCTATGTTGCAAATGTATGTTTCAAGTGTTTCAAGTGTCTTAGAGGTATGTTGCAATTGTTATATATGAATGTTGCAAAAGTAGATCGGGATGTTACACATGTTGCATATTTTGCAAGTGTTTCCAGTGATATGTTGCAAGCGTTTTGAAAAAATGTTTCATTTGTTTAACTGTTTTAGACGTATATTGCAGCAAATGTTTTATATGGATGTTACATATGTGTCACACACATGTTGCAAATGTTTTATCTGGATGTTGCATATGTTTCGCACACGTGTTGCAAGGGTTTTATCTGGATGTTGCATATGTTTCACACATATGTTGCAACAGTATATTTCTAATGTTTCATCTGTGTCAGACGTATGTTGCATCCAAGTGTTGCATGCTGTAAGTGTTTCATGGGGGTATGGCGAGTGATGGGCGCATGGCCCAGACGCCGAGGGATGAGGCGCCACGATCTGGGGACCGGCGGACGGCGGCGTAGCGAGCTGGGGGCTGGCTCCTAGGTCCGGCCCACACGGAGAGAGAGAGAGAGGACGAGGTTAGGGAGAAAGAGCGGGGCGCAACGACGAAGTAGGGTGCGCGGGGCGAGGTGGACGGGGGCGGGTGGTGCGGCCGTTCGAACACAAAGAGCGGCGGGCGGGGTGTGCGTGCGTGCGAGTAGGCGGGCTGCGCGGTCCGTCCGGACATCTCGCTAGCCATGCTCTTCCATATACTGGTCAGTGACGGTCCCACATGGCATGTAGCATGGTTCGGTCTGACATGGAGCCGCATTGTCGAATGTCGTATGTCGTCGGTTGTAGATTTTTGAGACGGTCAGAGAATAGGCGTAATAGGTTTTTGAGATTTATATATATTTACACACGCGCGTGCGTATATAAAAGAGCAAAGCATGCTGCCCGGTGCCCGCTGCCTTCTCCGTCCGCGCGCCCCCATTTCCTCTGGGTCGTCGACCACTTATCACGCCCACTAGCCAGCGCGCTCGTCCACGTGCGTCGGTGCGTGTTCCGGCCGGCGGCGCCGACGATGGCTCGCGGAGTTTGCGGTACGGTGGTGCTGGAGCTGGATCGACGCAACACGCGCGCGCGGAGCAGAGCCGAAAGTCCGAGCTCGCGTGTTAGGCCCGTCCCACGATACAGATCCGTCTCTCCTCTGACCGCCTGACAAGGAGAGGGAGAGCCTAGCAGACACGTCGTCGTCCCTGCTGGCTGCTGTGTGAGACCCTGAGCGAGCTCGATCAGGTGGCCAGCAGGTTCGCTGATCGAGCTCCTCTGCCCGAGTGCTCTCCCTGCCTTCCGAAGTGCTTGCCGTCCTCAGCTTCCAGCTTCTTCAGTCCCAGGAGTCAAACATGCGCACATTAACACTGTATATAGTTTTTCTCGGGTTGACACGTAGAGAAGGGTCAAAAAGGAGACACAACGCATTGGCCTACTTGTACTCGGTGCTTCCCTGACCTAAGAAGCTGAATTGCCGGCGGGTGTGTGCATGCATGCAGACTGCAAGTCTAATCAAATTTCCTCCCCTGAAAGACAACGACTAGACAAGCAAGCATTTACTTGTTCATTCCAAGGTCAAATGACAATGCAAAACGTCTCTCCCTCTCATCTCTCCGCGCACTACTAGCTAGTGTTTACCATGTAGCCGTGCGTGCGCCCGTGCGTGTATTTATACGCATGCATTGCATACACATCGCAGCACAGCCTCACACGACGATCGCGGCAATTAAGGCTACTCGATCGCGATCGATTGCTAGCTGTGAAGTGTGAATCCATCCATCGATCGACCATGAAGCCCTCGACGCTTGCAGTCGTCGTTGCAGCAGCGGTTCTTGTCCTTGCCGTGCTCGCCTCAGGTGGCGGCGTCGTTGGCGCGGCGGCGCGGCCGGTGGTGATGAGGCAGGGCGGCGGCAGCTCGGGCGCCGGCGCCGTGCTGGATCGCGTCGCCGTGGCTGTGGAGCTCACGAGCACGAACTCCTCGGCGCAGCCGTCCAACTGCACCTACGGGAACAACTTCGGCGGCGTGTGCCCTCCGACTCCTCCCGCTCCCGGTGTAGGGCACTAGCCACTAGCAGTAGCAGCAAGTCCCAGCCACCCAGAAATGCCCCGGCTGGGCGCGCGGCTGCCCAGATTTCCCCGTTACAACATTCGTGTGTACTAGCTTCGAGTCGGCCCAAAAAATCCTAGGGCCCACCAGATGGTTACTCTTGTGTATGGTTCCACTATGTATGTCGACGTGTGAACAGGCCGGGCCTGTTGGGCGACCCGTAGCCCATGGGCCTTCAGCCCTACGGACACAGGTTACATGTTTATCAATTGTTGTTATTTGTTTCTAAAAAAAAAACAGTTGTTATTTTTATTTCGCTAGAAAAAATTGCTGTTGTTTTTTATTATTATATTGCTTTATTTACTATTATTGGAGCCTCTGTTTGATTGCCGTCGAGTGATGCACCATTACAGTAGTACTAGTCTACTACTAGGTCCTGCATTTGCGGGTAGGCCTAGTAAACTTTTTTTTTTGTTTTCTTGGAGTATTCTAATAATTTATTGTAATCGTCTTTGTGTTATTTGAGACACGGCCTTAAACTAAATTTAACAAGCGAGCCTAAGTTCAAGTCCATTCAAAATCACATAGTTTTAATTCTGAAAGAAAAACAAGAATAATATGAGCAATTTTAAAACAAGCCACCAATCGAGCTCAACGAAACCTTTTGTGTTCGGCCCTAATTGCATATCTGTAATGCTTGCTTGACCTTGCCTCTCAATCGTATTTGTTATTGTAGTTGGTTGGACTAGGGTGGCTTGTGCAAATGAGCAGAGGCAGGTGGAGCATGCATGTAAGATGGTACACAAGAATTGGGCTAGGCATACTAATTGGAGAAGGAGAGGCAGAGGATCGTCATAGAGAACGACAAAAGTCATCGGTGGCTATATGACGCCATCTTTCATGAACTACATGGCTTCTCTAGACTATGATCTATGACACGATTCCTGTAATCCTGTTGGTCTTTCAAAGAACATGATTTAATAATCCTTTGACATCATGGGTCCAATGATCCACGTTGAGGCAAAAGAACACAACATCCTTGTCCTTGTCTAATGAATCTAGTGATTGGCCGACGCAGCGGGAAGATGTTCTAAGGTGGCAATGGATCCTTGCCTCATGGATCTCTTGGCATCAATATAGTGTTTAGCTAGACAACAAATCCTTGTATTACATACATGCAACTTGGAACACACGTTTAGAGAGAGAGTACTTACTAATTAATATGTGGCAACCGATGCCCAAGATTAAGAATCTACATGATTTTCTATACTTTTACATGGTAGGATACTAGTGTGGCACCAACCACGCTTGTATATAGGTAAGGGTCGGTAGAAAAGATCATGCCTCTTTGGTGACACTAAGGGCTTCCCCAACGTGCTAGGATGGCGTACTGCCCCATCCTTCACCTTGGCATTAACATACCATGTCACTTCCTTTGGTGGTCTCGTAGAGGCTTGTAGTAGTATGCAGAATAAACGGTATCCCTACCTAACAAACGGTAGAAGAAAACGCTCAAGAATGCGATGTGATCGGCGGATGGTGACCTTGGAGAGGGAGAAAGGAGAAAAGGTTGCTGCACGCACGTTCTTTTTGCTGTACAGGAGCATGACGACAGGAAAGAGCGCCCTTAGGGAGAGAGAGTGCGGGTTTCTATTTTTTGTCAACGTAGAATCTAGATTTTAGTTTGAGGCTAATGATTCTGTATGGCTGCGTTGTGCGTGCCCTAATAGTTAACTTGTGGGTGCCACTGTCACCATATCACTCTCGGTTTAAACTTTTTTTTTACAGAACGGCAGGGGAGCCCCTACCTATTTTTTTTATATATATATTAAAAAAAGAATATGGTACAAAATATATTGAAAAAGAATATGGTACAAAATGTACAGAGTACAAGGCTCTTAGAGCACTTGATGTCCGCTTACACAGGAAAAATCTGCATCAGCATAACATTTGAAAATCGAGTCTACAATGGTTTGGAATCGAAACTATTTTCATGTGTTACGCTAGAAAAACTCGATGTTGATGTGTTACGCTAAATGAAGTTAGTTTAGGTAGTTGTTTATCTAAAACTACTGGAGTTGCTCGCCTATACATATACTTGATCATCGTATTATTTACTACGAGTCTACGACTTATATACAGGATCATCGTAATGCTTGCTATGGAGAAATTGCAAGTTTTACAATATGTTACTTAAATACAAATTTTGTATTACCATCGTGTATATCAAATCTCATGGACACATATGCACATAACGCACAATTTCGCACAGGCATAATCCAGAAACTAAGCGTGCAAACGAGAACTACTATGATAACAAAACACAATCTCACACAGGCCCGGTAGATTCTGAAATTCAAAAGCACTCCCAGCAAAATTTCGATGAAATCACGGATTGCCATCTCAGAATAGCTCTTTCAGTTGAATTAATCAAGAACATTACTTCACTTCAACCTCAATACTCAACTCCATCACCAAGAATCGGGGGAGTTCGGGAAAACTTCACCTATCGCCGAATCAAAGAATCAAAGAATTACTACTCGGATCACGCGGACGACAAAACCTGCTCTTCATCTCGAACAAAGCGTCGCTTCTTTCTTGCCACCGCGGCTGCCGCCGCAGTCGCCGTACAAGATGAACTCTGAGGCGTGGAACTCCACCTCGGCCGCCGCCTGCTGCTGCTGACTGCTCGCGGCCGCGGACGACGCGTCGGCCCCTCCGGTGGACGTCCCGGTGTCCCCGCTGCTGCTGGCGGTGGCGGGAGTCGAGGGGGGCTTGTAGTACATGCGCCCCGTCTGGGGGCAGTGCGAGTAGGAGCGCACGGCGATCCGGGCGCCCATGTCCAGCAACTCCTCGCACACGCGGCCGTACCGGCTGCCGATCGGCGCCGACTTCCTCCTCATCACTTCCAGACTCCTCCCAAGAACGGCGCGCGGACGACGGGATGTGCGCGGCGAGGCTGGAGTTGGATCCGCCGAGGGATATGAACGTTGCCGAGCCCGGCGCTATCGAGGATGTCGGTTTTCTTGCTGGATCGAAGCGCGGCGCGAGTTCTTTGGTTTCTTTTCTCGCGGTCGCGGTGGATTTGATGGCTGGAGGGCGAGACTGGGAAGAACGAAGCAAGCACCTCGGGAAAAGGGATGCGTGGGTATTTGTAGCCTGGTGAGGAGAGGAGGTCGGCGCGGCGCGGGGCGGCGGGTGGGGAGAGTCCGGCGACGGCGTGGGTTGCGACGGACTGCTGTTCGGACTCGAGTTTGCAGGGGCCGCGCGCGTGGGCGCCACGCAGTTTCCTTACTTTCCTGGCAAGGAAACTGGCGATACGTGGCAACCAGGGCCCACCTGCAGTGAGAAATCGGAATCCAAATCCTTGCTCTAAGACCGTCTCCACGAGGGAGACCTAAACCCGACCCCATTCCCGATTTTGGGTTACGTACAGAAAAAGGTCACGGACCCATAACCGAGTCCTCTCCAATAGCGACGCAAAAGCATAGCCCATCCCGAAGCGCCGGCGTTGTTGACGAGGACGCCCATGTCGCGGCCCCGGTGACGGCGAGGTCGAACGCCACGCTCCGCACCTTGCACGACGGCGACGGCACGCGCGGCCAGGACCTCCTTCGCCACCCGCGCCAGCTTGTAGTGCTCGGTGTTGGCCTACCGAGGGTGTTGCAGAGGGGGAGAAAGCGGAGTAGAGGAGGGTAGAAGGGAAGAGGCAGACCGGAGGGGAAGGGATGGAGCAGGGCAGAGCACGGCGACGGCGGCAGCCTCGACGCTCGGCTCCGGCGGTGCTTCGACGCGGTGGAGGTGCTCCGGCTGCACCGGTGCCGGATCCGCCGCTAGCCACCGAGATCGGTAGGAGGAAGAGGAAGAGAGGGCGTTGCTCCTGCAGGGTCAGCGGATCCTTCCTGCACCGCCGGGATCCGGCTCGCCGCCGCCTAGAGGACCTCGGCCAGGCCGGATCTGAGGGAGAAGAGTGTTGCCACCGGATCTGAGGGACGAGCGCCGCCGCAGCCGTGCTTCAGGCGGATCCAATGCGCCGCTGTCGTCGTGAGGCCGCCCCTACACCTGCGCCCGTCAAGGATGCACCGCCGCCGCCGGGAACGTCCCCGCGCGTGGTCGTTGCAGGATCCACCGCCGGGAGTGCGCGCGCGAGCTTGAGCTCGAGTTCCCCAACGGCGGCAGCGGCCCTAGGCTACGCCGGCTCAGCTTGTGCTGCACGGCGAGCGGGGTCCGAGGTGGTGCTCCCAGGCGGCGGTCGTGTGTGCCGAGAGGGAAGGGAAGCTCAGCCATTCCTTGCTTCCGCAGGCGAGCTCCACCGTCGGAGATTTGCGTAGCGAGGAGAGAGGCAACGCTTTTTTGCGTTTCCTTTGTCCCGGTAGCCAAAATGCGTTGTGTGTTTGGGTGATCCGTTGGAGCCGGTATTTGATAGGCAAAAGTACTGTGCAATACTTATTTTTTGGTTTGGGTAGTCCGTTGCAATCCGTCTAATCTACTACTCCTTGGCAAGGGGACTTGGGTCACGTAGTTGGCAACTGGATACTACCTCCGCCCCTGAATAGAGTCTGTTTGAATTAGTTATGACTATTTATTAGCTAAGGCTAAAAAACGATTTAAATCAACTCTCTTATTTGGATTAGTTAGGGTAAGTACATTGTTACACGTCAGCAGTCTCATACGCCGTCTCTTGGAATGGCACGTACAATTTTTGCTTATATATATGGACGAAAGAGAAAGGGGAGAGAAAAAGTGGTCGTTTCGCGAAACAACCACCTCATGAGCTAAGATTTAGTACTATGGGACAACTGTTATACCATTGTATGAGTTGTTGTCATACAACTCACAAGTTTACTTTTATTTTGTGTATAAATTAAGGAATTATGAGTTACTATAAGACAACTTAAAAAACAACCCTTATATATGTTGTCTTTTAAGTCATCCTAAAATTATACGGCAATACATGAGATCACTTTTAAGACCACCTATGTACTTGTCCTTAGAACTACTTATTAAAGATCACTTTCCGTTGGCTTGTTCAGGAAAACATGCTCAATGGCCATCTTCAAACGTGTGTTCTACATATATATAGCCCAAGCTAACCCCACCCAACTCTAGAATTGAATCAGCTTGCCCATAAGTCAGTCCTTTATGCGGGGAACACATCCACTTGAAAATATCCCTCACACAACTCCAAATTTAAATTGCTAAAAAGAACACAGAAGAAAACATGGTGCATATTCAAGGCCCTTAAAAAAAGAGGAATTACACATGAATCTGTTTATTTTCACATGAAAAACACAATAAATAAATCCCCCCCCTCCCCCATTCTGAAGGATCCCTAAAAATATTTTCCACATACATAGCATTTGCCACTCCCTCTCCGATCCAAGGTAGTAGCATTTTTGTAGAAACGCCTAAATTTTAAGAGGTATCATGTACTTCCAAATGATAATTGCATTTCCGTTTTTGACACCATCGTTAATTAGGAATCTATAAAGAGACTTTGTAGTGAATGAATTAAATTTGTCGATGACCTGAACCTACCGAACCTTGCCCTTCTTGTTACTAGAAATCTGTATATCCCTCAGATCATCGTTCTGATTCAGAATTATAAAACTTCTCCTTCCCACGGATTCTGACGGAGTGACGGTAAGACACCTGCTGTTGCTACTTGCTCAGGTCCTTGTTTAGTTCACCAACTCTGCACCTCCAAAGTTTGCACAGTGCAAGATTCTTCATCACATCACATCACATCAAACCTTTGACATATGCATGGAGTATTAAATGTAGGTAAAAAAAATAACTAATTATATAGTTTGGTTGTACTTTGCGAGACGAACGTTTTAAACTTAATTAGTCAACGGTTGAACAATTATTACCAAATACAAACGAAATACTACAGTACCGCTACAGTACATAATGCTTTTTAGACGTGGAAAGTTTGAGCAACTAAACAAGGCGCAGACCGTCAGACGTGTTTCCCACAACGAGAAACAAACAGACTTTATGACACGATTATGATTATTATATTGAGAATAAATGGGATTGCTGGCCCTAACAAACGTGCTCTAACCAACTCTCTCGAAGCTCATGTAAACGGACGGACCCGGACACACTGCCTATGCTGCAAGCCTGCAACCCAACCCAACCCCTGCTCTTCCATTTACCCCCAGCGTGCGCGCTCTCTCTCGTGGCGACGACTGGGAGGCCGTGTCGCTGCCGGCCTGCCGCCTTACGCTAGGTGCGAGGTGCCCAGGTCTTCTTCAGACCCTGCGCCGGCGACGAGCACCACCAGGTACGCCCACCCCCTTGGTCGTAGCTTCCTGCTGTGAGAAACCGAGCACCCAAACCCTAACTTACTATTTGTATTCGGATCTGATCTAATTAGTGTATATGCATGTATTATATGCGTTCCATATTCGATTGTTCTGCAAAATTATCGGGTGTACATGGTATGCCCATGCCCTTTACTGGGTCCGCCCCTGGTTGGATGGCTCGATTGGGGGCAACACCTCGTCCTTGTGAGCCTCATTCCGCAAGTGGATCAAGTTATTCGATACCTTTCATATCCTGTATAAGTAATACATATTTTAGCGTCATGTGTTCTACTAGTATTGAGATACTGCTAACTAGTGAATTTCCATTATGTATTTGTGCACATTACTTTTGTGTTACATAACAACTTGTTTCTGTAGAGTGCTCAATGTCTTTCCCTTCTTCACTCTGTTGCAGAAATTGCCTCCACCTTTCAATCAACAGCTTGAACTTACAGCGAGATGGAAAATGATAGAAGCCAGCTTGGTCAGATTGACCCAAGAAGAGCCCGCTTTCCTTGTTGCATAGTATGGACTCCAATACCATTCATCACGTGGTTGGTGCCCTTTATCGGTCACATTGGCATCTGCAGAGAAGACGGTGTGATTCTGGACTTCGCTGGTCCACATTTTGTATCAGTTGACAACTTTGCGTTTGGAGCTGTCGCACGCTACATTCAAGTAAACTGCGATGAGGTTTGTAATCTGCAGTTTATGCTCTTCTCTATGACTTGTCACCTTAACATATGTGTGTAAAATTGAAGTTTTGTATGCTCAAATCATGCTAGCGCTTACCACCAACCATTGATTGTCCTTTGGAACCTGCAGTGCTCTAAGCTTATTGAACCTGAAGGAGATGCCACGTGGGACGGCGCACTGAAGAAAGGCACACAAGAGTTCCAAAACAGAAACTACAACCTGTTCACCTGCAACTGTCACTCCTTTGTCGCAAACAATCTGAACCGGCTGTTCTATTCTGGCCACGACAAATGGAATGTGGTCAGCTTGGCTGCTGTGATGTTCTTACGAGGCCACTGGGTGAGCACGGCGTCAGTGATGAAGACCTTCTTGCCGTTTGCAGTTGTGCTTTCCATCGGTACCCTCCTTGGCGGCACGACCTTCCTGATCGGCCTCCTTGCTTTCGCCGCTGTGATGACTGTCTGGTTCCTTGTGGGCACCTACTGCATCAAAGGCCTCATAGAGTTGTGATTAGAGTATATTCGACTTGTTTTGGGGGTCCAAGGGTGGCACACTTTTAATTGTATTGTTAGTACTCTGTACCTTCCTGTATAATTGATTCTTGATGGTATTCATCTATCAATATATCTGAAATTCTGAATGAATTGTGTGGCTTGAGGAACTGGCTGTTGATGCCCTTCATTTGTGCTGCTGAAGGATCATGCTACAACCAGAAGTCCATGTCCATGCTACATGATCCATATACTTAGGCCATGTTTGGAATGCATGGTTTAAATCAAGAAAAGCCTGCGTTCAGTACAGAACTAAGCAGCAAGTGTCCATATACTTATGGCGGTCTCCTGTGCCTCTGAACCGCGCCACTGACACGGCATGGTCCGCGGCCGCCGTAACAGCGTCCTCGACCATGAACTAAGCAAGTGTTCGGTGAAGAAGCCGGCGCCACCGAGCTGGGACCCGGCTCGTCCTGGATGTCCGCCACCACAACGCGTGCGCACTTCATGAAAGAAAGTCGCGCCGTACACTCCCCGATGCATCTCGCCCTGCCGCTGCCGGTGATCATCAGCGCCACATTGCCCTCTAGATCACGGCGGACGCGCTGAGGCGCCGTGCCAGGGAGCTGTGGGAGACCATGGAGGAGGAGCGGCTACAGGAAGAAGAGGAGGTGACGAGACCAAGCACAGGATGCATTCACGAATGAACGGCCCACCATGATTCGCCGTGGATGGTAAGGACAGAGACGTCGCGGCGCGCGCACTCTGCGCTCGAACCCGAGCTGCCTCCGGCATGTCCTGGAGCGGTTCCCAGGCGTTGTAGGCCTCGGCGGTCTTGTGATTGCCGTGGCAGCCCGCCACTTACATCTTATTGCCCACCCGCCTCGGTGCACGCGAAGGACTACCGTCGACCGCATGGGCGCGCCGCGCGCGGGCGCCACTCCACGGCCCTGATCCAGTTCCCCACATGAGTGTGCCCTGGTTTGCGTCATCGGCCGGGAGAAGCAACCGGCCAGCTGGGCAGGCAGCTGCGGAGCTCGACAAGTCCCAGCTGACAGCTCCATGAGACCCGCGATTCGATCGGCGAGGCACTGCAGCGTGCTGGCGCGGTCGCCTAGCTATTGACATCTCCACCAGACTCGTGCGGATGGGACGCCATTCAGCGAGGCGCTGCATCTCCGCCTGCACCGCCGCCGCCCGCCTCCACGGCTCTACCTGCGTGTCGACTTGCAACCGCCGGGCACGCAGTGAACGTACCGACGTACGTGTTATTCACATCCGGCCGCATGTGCCGACGCGGTCGCGGTGCAGCACGGGCTGCGGGCGCTCAGTTATCGGCGCTGCCAGCACGTCAAGTGATGTAGTAACGTACGTTGCATAGCAGATTTGTCCTACCGAGCGGAACGCATCTTGCATTTTTGCCTGATGCAATGCAAACTTGTGCTAGTTCCAAACACACCTCGTGCGCTGCCTGCAAACTCCAAACGTCGAAAGTGATCTACACGGAGAAAAGTAACGTACGTTGCCATAAATAAAATAAATATACAGCATCTCATCAACATAAAAGAGACGGATCTCGCATCTTGGCGATTTTGCCTGATGCAACCAGGAGATCAAATACGCTAGTAACGCCCTTGCTAACACCGACAAGTTAGCCATGTTGTCGGGCGATGTGGGTACCTTGCTGGAGGTGCGCTGGGCGAGGCAGGAGGAGGAGCACGAGTGGGAGACGGAGGCGGTGGCAGAGCACCCCGACGACGACGCCCCGGACGCCACCGAACGGCAGCTGGCGCTGGCATGCCAGCTCTGCAGCCACATGCTGTCGACCGAGCACTTGTTCGCGTCAATGTTGGGCTTCATCGGAGATGAGCTACGACAGGCCGTGGACCGCAGGCGTCGCCCTCACCCCGGTACCGCCGCTTGGTGGCATCAGCGCGGCCGTGGCGGCCTCAGGTACACGCGGTTCGTGCAAGTTTCGAGGGAGGAGTTGGCAAGAACTCATCGCCGACGCTAATTATACTGAGGCGCTCTCCGAGGACCTGATCGAAATTATCCGCGGCTGCTGCTAACGCTGCTGTCGTCCACTCGACGCCGCGCCTGCTGGAACGCCTACGCCGCGCACAGCGCCTCGCCGACGCCATCCTCATCCCACTGCACCCGCTTAAACGCCTTCTCGACCACCTTATCGGCGCCAACGAGCCGCGTCGTCGCGGGAAGAGAGGTAGAGAAAGATCAGCGACGCCGCCGCGGGCCATGATCAGGCGCAGAAGCATTTAGTACTCCGTACAGTACAGAAAAAAAGTACACCCACGCCCGGTTCGGGCGAGCCATCTAAATCAAATATATTTTAAGTTAACGCCATTTTCTCTCAGTTCCAAACACACCTACTAGTGCATAACGTCTGCAAACTCCAAACTCCGAAAGGAACTCGATCTGCGACACGGAGAAAAGAGTCCGGTCCGTATTATTAGCTAGCGAAACCATAAATAAAATAAATATACAGCATCTCATCAACATGTAAAAAGAGACTATCTTGCGATCTCGTACTATTCGTTGGCGATCGGCGGCGTCGGGGCAAAATCCATGGCGGGACCAGGAGATCGAGAATACGCTTGTTGTGTGCCGGTTTACACCGACAAGTTAGCCATGTTGTCGGGCGATGTGGGTACCTTGCTGGAGGTGCGCTGGGCGAGGCAGGAGGAGGAGCACGAGTGGGAGACGGAGGCGGTGGCAGAGCACCCCGACGACGACGCCCCGGACGCCACCGAACGGCAGCTGGCGCTGGCATGCCAGCTCTGCAGCCACAAGCTACGACAGGCCGTGGACCGCAGGCGTCGCCCTCACCCCGGTACCGCCGCTTGGTGGCATCAGCGCGGCCGTGGCGGCCTCAGGTGCACGCGGTTATTACAACGAATTATTACAACAACATATAAGTTTAAACGAACATAGACTTAACGAATTATTACAACAACATATAAGTTTAAATTTTAAATTTCATATCCAAAATTCAAACTGACCACATGGACATCAATAAGAAGAAATAAAACAACATGTGCAGGTCAAGTACAACACACCGTGACGTGACCACAAATGCTCTATCCAATCCTCACGAATGTCTATGAACAAAGGATTGAAGGGTTTTCAAAGGAAAAACAAAGGATTGGGCAATCCTAAGGAATAGGTACCGTAGGTGTGGTGTCTTTGGTTCACAGGAATGGCTCCTAAGAAATCCTGAGGAATACTGTTGGTACCCTATGATTTTACAGGATTTTCATGGGAAAAAAATCCGCTGGAACTTCTTGGTTTCACTAGGAACGAGGCAAATGGTTGTGAAAAGATGAGATCAATGCTTTTATGGTGTGCTGGTCAGGCTCTAATAGCTGATGTTTTTCTCTATATAATAGAATAACACGTCAAATTGTTAATTAAACCAATCCTATGATTCCTATTCCTCTAAATTTTCTATGTCCATCCAAACACCTACTCATACAATTTTTCTACGTTTTTCAATCCTCCGTTTTGCAGTTGCAATCCTAAATAATTCCTACACTTTTTTCTATTCCTGTGTTTTCCATTCCTGTATTTCAAAGGGGGCCTTCTTAATCCTCATGTTCCACCTCCTGTGCAATCAAGCTCAAGATAAGGGCATCATCATCGGACTCATCCTCTTTCTTAAAGAATTGGTTTAAAATGTTATACTCATCGTCAAACAAAACCATTATTAGTAGCTATGATTGGGGCTATAGTACAGACTATGCATAGGACTACAAAAGTGAAAAGACAGGATGTATTTCGACGAAATGCCTTGGATGTGATCAGCAAGAGAACCATAATACATATGAAATTCACTCAATTTCATACAAATGATATCGAGGAGGGCATCAGGCAGGGCGACATACCTTGTTGGAGTAGGGGCGTCGGTGGCGAGATGACGCCCGGGTAGGGAGGAAGGGGCAATGACTTGAAGGCACATGGGGCAGGGAAGAGGAGTGTTGACATAGAGGCGACATCGGTCAAGGAGGGGGCGGCGCGGTCATGGAGAGGTCGACATAGAGGAGCCGCCAATGGTCGTGGATATACCAACGAGGGGGGGTCTGGCCCAACATCTCTCAATATGTCCTGCTTCCTCTCTCTAACCTACCCTTCTCTTGCATGACAACCAACTCCTAATCTGCCACCTCTATATGTCCCCCTCTCGCATTGTGCCAACTCTCAATTTGTTGCCTCCTAGTGGGGTGCGGCATGCACCACCGACTAGGCGCCCTTCCACGGCCTCGAGCGCTACTTCGACCAGGTGCTGGTCTGCTAGAGATGCCAGATGTCCTAGTTCTCCCACCGATTAGGCGCTAGAGATGGCACTGCCCAAGTTTTCGGGTCGAGGGTGTAAAATTGGTTAATTAAAACCAATGAGTCCATATAAATTCAATCATAAATTTAAGCAAAAATGAGGTAGTAAAATGGAGAAAAAAGGATATTGACTTCATTTAGACGTGTGCCATCCTCCACTGGCCCATTGTCAATGGAGAGTTTCTTTGTATTGTTTTCAAGATTGTTACATCATGTAAAACGAAATGAAATACAAATGAAAATAGTTTCATAGACATTTAATTTAGGGAAAAGTCCATTTTTGACCATCGAACTTTTGGCGAAGTCCGAGAACGACCATCGAACTCTAAAACCAGTAATCTTTGACCATTTATTTTCTGAAACCGGACACAAAAGGCCATGGACTGCAGTCCACCTAGTTTTGACGCCACGCCGGTTTTGACGCCACCTACACATGACATTCATAGTTCACATGCTGTCAGGTAAAATTAAGCCATCAGTCAGGCATTACACATCACAATTCCTAGTTTAGATGGTAGCAACATGAACTTAAGCCAACAGTCTGGTATTACACCTCACAATCCATAGTTCAGATGGTAGCAAAATAAACTTAAACCAGCATTCTAGCATTACACGTGGGCATCACAGATACTTCAGATGGCATCACCAGGTGCTGGCAGAAAGAACATAGGG